AGCAAATACTGTTGAACGATGCTGCATAGAAGACACTGTCATCATTGCAATGAAACAATAAGTGTAAAACCGATGTTTTTCCATGTAAACTATCACTCAATTCACAATAAAAAACTTAAAACAAAACACAACAGTCTCGGCAGAGACCACGTGCCAGGTCCCTAGTTCTCCAGAGGAAGACAACTTGACGTTAACACACTCTGCACGCTCCATCCGTGAGGCAAATGCCGACAGAAGCAGGGCCCCAGGGAGAGGAGGCCTGGAGCAGCTTGGAGTGGAGAGACAGGCAGGAGTAACACACAGCTCACATCCAGGAGTGTCAGGAGAGGCAGCTTGCTGAGCTGAGCCCACAGAAGGCCCTGGGAGCTCTCTAGCTGCATGGGAGAGAGTGGCTCTGAAGTGGGCCCTAGCTGGACCCTGGGTGGATAACTGGCCAGGTCCTCCTCAGCCCCTTCCATCATGGCCTGCTTCCACGTGGAGTGGGCAGGGAGGACTCTGGAAAGAAGATCTTTGAGGAAACAAAGATGATGATGATGATGTAAAGTACACACAGAGTGACTATATAAAGAGAACTGGTTGACACTCATGACGTTCAAGCATTTCAGGAGGCAGGATATGATCAAGAACTGAAGGTACTGAAGGAACAAGTCCAAGGTGCAGGCCCTGGTCAGGGAGCAAAGGTTTCCAGGAATTTACCAGGTAGCAGCTGGAATATTTCAACAAGCAGATGCAGCGTGGACGGGACTTACTCATCTACGCCAAGGCATTAGGGAGATACTGACCCGCCCACCAACTCAAAGAGCTGCATATTCACGTGCGTTCCAAAGAGAGGAGATCCAACAGAATGCAGAAATCATCAAACAGTATCATTAATATCACATGCAAGTACAATTTTGCTGAAAAGAATGCAAAGATCGGTTGCAGCAGTACATCCACAGGGAACTGTCGGAATTCAAGCCAGATTCAGAGCAAAGGCTATCACCGCTGATATCAGATGGATCCGGACTGAAAACAGAGAATACCACTAAGATGTGCACCTGTGTTTTATTGTCTGTGTGGATCAGAAAAATGTGTGGGCAAAACTGCAAAATACTGGAATTCCAGACTATTTAAGTGTGTTTATGCGGAATCTGTACACAGAACAAAGGTACACTGCATGGTTTACAATCAGGAAAGGTCTGTATTAGGATCGTATCCTTTCAGCACACTTACTTAATCTGTTGGCTGAGCATAAAATCTGATTAAGATGGACCATGTGGAGAAGAACATGCATTAGGATGGAAGGCAGGCTCATTAAAAACCTCTGATGACGCTCTTTTCCTTCCAGTGTGCCACAAAGACCCTGGTGTCTCCATGGGCTGCTGCCCCACCCGATGTTACTGGTATTGTAAAAACAAGCCCTATCCCAAGTCCCGCTTCTGCCAAGGTGTTCGTGATGCCTAGATTCGGATCTTTGACCTGCGTCAGAAGAAGGCAAAAGTGGATGAGTGCCCACTGTGACCACAGGGTGTCAGGTGAATAAGACCAGCTCTCCTCAGAAGCCCTGGAGGCTGCCCGTATTTGGTGAAATACAAATACATGGTGAAAAGCTGTGGCAAAGATGGCTTTCCCATCCGAGTTTGGCTGCATCTGTTCCATGTCATCCGCATCAACAAGATGTTGTCCTGTGCTGGGGCTCAC